CTAGGGATAATCAGGGCTAATGCACTGAAGCACAGGACATAGTTTTTGTATTATGAAATTCACCACTTTTGATTATGTTGAACACGAAAGGGGATTTTTTGTTGTAGTTTTTCAGAATCAGAACTGAGTTTTACAGGAAATATCCTTTTAAATCAACCTGTAAACAGTTGTAAAAAGCAAAGTAGGTAGAAAGTACTTTCAAAAATTGTGGAAAATATTCTAGGATGTATTTTGGAAGGTGGTGCACTGTGAAGAAAAGAGTTGGTACATACGTGATTCTAACAGTGGCTTTCTGGCAATCTGCTGGACTCATTTGCCTTAGCAGGTCTCCTCAATAGAAGGTTTAGTGACTGCTTATTCAGGGATTATACTTTTATTCTTCCTTGCTCTCCTTACTTTTAAATAAATGTTTCAAAGGCTAGAACTTGTTTTTCTGAATGGAAAACAATGCCTCATGGGTGTTTTGGAATGGTTTCATAGTTAATGTCTGAATGTGTAAAAAGATATAAAACCACAAAAATCTTCACCCTGCTGCACAGAAAAAAGAAAAATCAAGTTCTCACTAGTACACTAACTACAACAAACTACAAAATCATTAGAAATAGCCTGAAGTGATATTATAATTATACCTATTTATTCTTAGAGATTGTGCCTAGTGAAGCAATAAATGAGATATGGAAAATCATGTACATTCATGTAAGACAGGGAAAAATAGGGTGAATATTTTGTAGTTTCAAATTCAATGTCTTCTACCATTCTTACTTCCAATGCTTCTCCTGGCTTTCTTGCCAAATCTCTTCTACCCTCCTCTCTTCATTCTCACACTTCCCATCTTTAGTACCTGAAACCAACCCCTTTTCTGTCATCAAGTCTACCCTTCCTGTCTGCTTCCCAATTCACATATCTTGTATCCATTCTGTCCACTTGGATTCCAGGCTTAGTATAGTCTTCCTTTTGGGAGGATTAATGAATCTTCAGTTTGAAAGACTCACAAGGGTCAGGCTATTTCACTTTTTTTTTTACCGTCATCTTTAACGGATTCATCCACGTAAAAAAACTGTCATGTATTGAGCTAGTCTGTTATTACAACCTTTAGTCTTTCCCCTTCTTCCTGCCTCCTCTGAATCTAAAGTTTATTGACTGGTGTTAGTGGTTAGAAGTATCAACAACTTTTCTGTTCTTTTTCCTGAATAAAGATGTCCCAGAAAAGCTGGAAGGACAGGTTGCCCAAAGAAGTGGTAGATGCCCCATCATTGGAAGTGTTCAAGGTCAGGTTGGACAGGGCTTTAAGAAACCTGACCATGGTGGGGGGTTGAACTACATGATCTTTAAAAGGTCCCTTCCAACTCAAACCATTCTGTGACTATGAGTCTATGTGCTGATTGACTGATGCTAGATTAGAGAGCAAGTATTTGGTGGAAAAATGGGAATGAAAAGTTCCTATCTGACTAGGAGTCTCTGACAGCGTTTTTACCCCAGAAGAGATCTCTTTATATCAGCAATGGAACAGTTAGAACACACTGCTGAGAGCTCCAATTCTGGGCTGCTTAAAATGAATTTATCCTGTCATCGGTCAGGATAAATATGGGAGCATCCACAAGGCAATTATGGCTCTGAAGTTATCCTACCTCCGGTTTTCTGAACTGGAATGAAGCAACAAGCTCTCACAGTGCTACAGTATTCTGATGTTCTGAAAGCAAATTTGTGCTTTTGATGGTTACCAAAATTACTGCTAACCTTTAGCAGAAGGTCTTTCATACAAATGAGGTTTTCTTTTGTGTTGTTTTAACCCACAAGTCACACTGGTCAGTGGTAGTATCATCAGTGACCATTTGAGGTAGAAAAGCTTGAGTTAGACAAGTTTATTTTTAAAACTAAGTGCAGTCTCTTTTTAAGTGATAACCTTTTCCCATGAGTTTTCCAGATGGCCAGTGACATTAACATTACCTCATTATGTTTTACTAATGCTCTTTTGTTCATTTAATTACATAAAGCTGGCAATCTTTTATGCAGCCTAATACATTTTTGGAAGGTTGAAGCTGGAATATCAATAAATGAAGCGAAACTTCACCAAACTGTTGCAGGGGAATTTACTATTCACACACTGTAAAAGATCAAAATCCCAATTTAATTTCACTTCAGGACAGATATTAAGAAAGTAATTTTCTGAACTCTGCCTTAAATTCCTAACCATTTGAATGTATAAGAAATACTTGCAACAACATCTGCCAAATGCACATCAATCCACTTAATAAGTTCATATTTCTTTGAATCATATTTTTATTTAATTCTAAGAGGTATCTAAAAGATAATTGCCATTAAACGTTTTTATGTGTAGCAGCTGGAAGGCATGTCCAACATTGTATTCTTTTCAATGTGCTGATCAGTGTTAGATTTGAAAAAGTTAATGCACTGTATAGAGAAGAGAAAGAGTCTGTCACAGAGAAAACACCAGAGGTTCTCTCACTCATGTGAACAGAGAGCTGTCATATGTGCCTTAAAGATAAGAAGGGAACGAGTTGATAAGGATTACTTGTGACGTCTCCCCCCGCTTTGCCTCACTCAAACCCCTCTTCCTGCTTCTGTAGTTAGAAACATTTTACAGGGAAACTTTTTGTCTTTTTTTTCAGCAGTTGGTAAACGTGTCTTCAAATAAACTTATGTGCTAGCAGGAAAAAACAACAGCACGTGTACAGTACCATTTTCATGTATACATGGATACTTCAGATATGCAACTCACAAGATTCCCAAACCTCTCCAGGCTGTATATGCAATAAACACATCAGAGTGCAAACAGCTGTCATAGGGTCCTCTCCAACGTAGACCTTTTTCGAGGCCTAAATGCATATACAGACATTACACTGTCCTATGATCCCTCACCTGAAAAAGACTTTCATATTGAATTGGTAGTATGTAAAATATAAGATATGCTTCCCTGCCTTATTTCTGCCAGGTGCAAATGTGCTCTGTCCCTACCCTGATAGATGCAAGAAACTCTGCTTGAAAACATATATAACTATAGTGTCTGAATCACTTTGCAACAGCTAAGACCATAGTCAATAAAATTTTTCCGAAGTGTGGATCACATAATTTTGAATAAAATATGTCTTACACCTGGATATCTCAGACCCTAATCACAGTGACAACATGTACGTGAAATAAATCCACATTTTTTTTCAAAGAGATGTGTAAAATTTTGAATAAATAAAAATTTAAACCATCTGATTCTCCCCATAAAAACTCAACTTTCCTACCGAATTATTTCACAAACTCTGTCACAGCAGAATGCTACTCAGGAGCATACTTTTCCAATGGAATCCAACAGTAGTGTCTGTTAGATTCAGTATATAATGTTACTATGGTCTGTGATGAATTAGAAGCGAAAACATCACCTCCATACTAGATCTTGCAAGACAGCTTTCTTGGCATTACAGCACCCCTGAAACAAGTACTAATTCAAAGAGCAATGCTCTTCACTGAGAGAGAAAAGTGCATTTAATTTCCTGAAACATCCCATGAACACTTATAATGAAGTAGTGATCCATCTACTTTTCAAGATATGTCCTGATTAGTTTACAAGGTCTGGAAAAAATCATCCATATATACACATTCAAAGAATTTCTAGGTAGTGTGTATGTGACAATCCATGTGGTGTGGCAATGTCAATGTAGTATTTTGTCCAATTATGTGGTAAAATTACATTTACAAGAGGAGATAAGAATACCTGTTTAAAAGATACTGGTATACAAAACCATGTTAACTCCAATCATATCCCCTCAGCATATTGACCAAAGGCTTTTTTGATCTTCTCAATTTAAAAGTGAATACTTCAGTCAAGGTTTTGTTACTTGCTTTAATTTTAATTGCATTGTGTTCAAAATTATCAAAAACATTTTACAATCTAAAATGGCAATAAATTCCTTGCCCAGCTAAATTTAAAAGCCTAGATAGTGTTCAGTAGAGAAAATAGAAGCAAAATTTACTTCTTTACATAAAGCTTGGGATCCAACAAAAGAGTGTCTTGTTATTTCCACTAAGTCAAATCTCAATCATTTATGCAAGTATTTGCAAATTGGATTCTGATGTTAAGCTGAAGGGAAGTGACACACTGCAAGGAAAGAAAGGTCAGCAAAGACCTTTTTTGCACTATGCAAGGCCATTTTTTGGCAGTATTTAGAGATGTTTGACAAATGCAGACATATATAACTACCAGTGACCTGAACGGTAAAAAGAACTGGGAGTAAGTAACTGGTTTCAGCCATATAAGAAGTCTGTTGTGATAGTAGAATGTTAATAATTATGGAAGCACTACAGTATTAGGGAAATAATCAGGTTGATGGAACTGATGGAATCTGAACTACTGTACAGATACCTAATTATCTTCAGACTAGTGAACCTAGACATCATATTTCCCTGAAAGACTAGCATCATTGGGAGGCAAACAGTTCCATCCTGGTATTCTGCTTGTTTCAGTCACTTTGGAAGCTGTCACCAAACTGGTCCCCACCATCTGTCTCAGCTCCCAGCCACCACTTGAGAAGGGCTCATCTCCCAATATCAACTACTCAGTTTTTAATGTCTCAGAGAAGTGATCCTGGTTCCCAGTCTTCAAAGCAGAGAAACCATCCTCTCAGATCTTCCCAATATGCATCTTTAAGTAAGCAAAGACGCACAGGCTGGCCATCACCTGAGAAGTAATGAACAACTGTAAATAGAATCAATAATGAATGATTTTTTTAAATGACTCTTAATGAGAAAGAAAAAGTCAGATGTGTTGACCCCTTGAATGGACACTAGGGTGCAGATGAAAGAAAGCAAGAAGTAAGTCAGCACCGTGACCTTTCCTTTGTGGGAGGAGGAGCACTAGGATGCTTAGCCCACACTATCTTGCAATAGGCAGAGGCCTCCGGGCCCCAGAGAAGCAGCAGGTTGAAACAGGCTAGTGGCAGTGAGAATATCAGACCAAAACAGGCATGTTGGGTGGGCAGGATAGCGAGGCTGCTGAAGAGAAAAGAAACATCAAATAGCTGAGTAGAGGCTGAGGGAGATAGAGAATCACATACTCGTGTTCAAAAAGATTTCAGTGGAGCTCCAAGAGACAGAAAGACGGGTGGGTCACAGGGAGACGCAGAAGGGAACAAAAAGTACTTTTTATGAGAAGAGAGGTGTTTAGAAGGTGGGTGGAGAGTTGTAGTAACATATCCATTTCCCTCCCACCCATTTTCTTTAGGGCGTTTTTCTCAGAGCTTTTCCTCTCTCTTCTCCTCCCCACAGCAAACAGCCAAGCTGGGAAGAAGAGATTGTCTCTGAACTTAGCAGTGTGTCTGGGCATGGAAGACTGATAGCAAACAAGTAAACAGAGCTGACAACTGTGGTAACTGCGGGAGCAAAGCCTGCTCAGTGACAAGGATGAGCACTCCTCCTGAGGTAAGGAAATGGGTCTGTCTTGCAGTCTGCTGAGGTACCTTTGTCTCACACCTCTCTTTTCCTATCCCTATCACACCTACACTGCTTATTACCTTAGGGAACTTGGGGTAGTTGAGTTTTTGACAGTTTGTATCCAGAAAGGGCTTGTCCGGGTCTCGGGATTGACGATGTGGGATATGGTGCAATGATTTAGGGGTTCTTGCCCTTCCTGTTAGTCGTCCTAATGGCCATCCTGATACTGTTTTCCAAACTGTTTGAAGCACCGACCGATAAGTAGTAATAATAATAGGAGTAGTAGTAATAATAATAATGGCCTCTTTTATTGTATCTCCATTTTTTCAACACAAAATTATAAGAAAGTACTTACCCAGAAACATACAATTTCCCCCACCCCCAAATAATTGTGTATAAACATGGCATACTTTTTGGAATGTGAGAATGACATGATAAGGCTAATTGCTTCCCATATAGCGTGGTGTAATTTTCTGATTTGATGTCTTAACTTTTCTGATTTGATGTCTTATATAAATGGCTAATAAAGTCTTATTTTCATATTTACAGACAAATTGCACTGAAGTGAACTGTTAGGTCAGCATTGCTAAAATATAGGAAACATTCAAGGACAACAGAGATATGTAAAGTGTTCTATGTGACTAAATAATTCAAACTAAAAAATACCTATGTTTTGTAACAACGAGAGCTGTTCAGTGTGACTCTGGCTGTAATTCAAAAGATAACTTTATCTTGTCCGCATTTTTCTAGCTGAAGAATTTGCAGAAATTATTGTTTTGTATATTCATTTCCATATTTCTGTGTGATAAAGATCAGACAACAGTTATCATTTTAGTTATTGGCCATGGTTATGCTTTAAAATTTTAGTAGTCCAGAATATAATTCAGCAACCTTTCTGTTTCGTATTTCACATTAGCAGATACTCTATTTTGAACACAGCCTAAAATATTTCTCAAATGGCATTTAATGGGCTCAATTTATTGTGCTTACATGAATTGCTGACAAAAGATAAATTTAAGAAAATGAAGTTTTTGGTGAGTATGGAGGCATTAGTCTGAAAATATGTCATCCACATGAGTAATGTGATAAATGCAATTTGGGTAACAGCCAAAGTCAGTAATTCTTGAATAACCTACAGGCTGAAAAATAAAACCTCTAAATTATTTGGTAAATAGTTATGAAAAATAACTCCAATTCTCTCTGCCTTTGATCTCTTTCTTTTTATTTACTTTATTTTTGTGAAAGCTAGATGCTTCTTTTTCTGCAAAGCACTGAACTCTGTGAAAATGAAAGGTGAGGAAGAATTATGCAGAGGAACTTCAACCTCCCTTCAAAATTCAGGAATGACTCACGAACAGAAGGAAGGAGATGCTGCAGGAAAATCAAATTCTTTGGCTGATATAGGTGTATCAAACAGTTCTTGCTTTAGTGACTGTACCTGTTATGATTCTGCTAGTCTAAGTCATGCTCACGTTTGAATCAGATGGTTAATATAGTATCTTAATTCAAAATAATACATTTTATAATTGATGACAATTAGAAGTCTTCTTTTAGTGATTTTACAGGCATTTGTTCTCACTTAGCTACAGTGGAGCCATTTGAATTTGAACACTTGCACATTCTTAAAAGCATGAAAGAACTGAAACTGTACTGGAAATTGCATTCATCTGGAACTTTATGCAAATACTGATTATTTTTCTCACTCCTAAGTGAGACCTATAAGGAAAAGCTCTGTCAGAGTTTGAAGTCCTTTTCCCCAGGCTTGTTCAAACCATTCACTTGCATCCTTATATGGAGCATTCTGGATGAGGCAACCAAGCCTCAAAATACAGTGCTGCTGCTTCCTGCAAGCTATGTAGTATTCCTGTATCCTGTGCCCTGGAAGTTTTTATATCTCAGCTCTGGTTCCACCTAGTTCAATCCACATTCCCTTGCCCAAAAATCATTGACTTAGGAAGGGTTCTGTATTTCAGTACCTGTGAACCACTTAGTCCGTCGAGGCACAAAAGTGAAGTTTGTTCTAGATAAAGAGTCTGATAGGGATTTTGCCCAGGTCAGTATCTGTGTAGGAGTATTGAAAGAGTGGGCATTTGTCTGTCTAGATTTGTTTAAGCTGTTGTCATGAAAAAGATAGAAAGGACAACTAAGTATGATTGCCCTCCTCTTTTATCTCTGTTTATGTAGGTCCACATAAAATCTCTCAAATCCAGACCTAGTTACAGAGGCAAGATTAGAAAGACATTCCTTATGGAAGGGAAGTGTTTGAAGAAAATTTTTATCCTTATAGTTTGTATAGCGCAGACCATAATCCAGTTTCTAAGTGGAGGTACATAGCCACTTCCCCTGTCACTTCTTTTTGGTATGCTGTTATTTTGAGGCATATTGTTCTTAGCAAGACAGTTGTTTCACATTGGAGACTTGAGGGGGACAGTCCTGTTTTTCTTACAGATTTTTAAAATCTATTATTTGATGTATTGTGCATTTCAAAAGAAACATAATGTATAGGCTTGATATAGACCTACTCTTAACCAGAAGATCATAAGAAATTGCACTGACAGTCTTGAAACACCAATTTCTTCTTAGTGTCTCTACAGCCATGCCACTTATTACTCAAAAGAGAGAGACAGATGTCCTCTGATAACATCAAACCAAAGTATTGCAAAAGTATAAATATTTCATAGTAGGAACAAACCAGATTTTTAATGTGAAAAACAAGAAATCTATTGCAACAGAGAATTCAAAATAATTGTGAATGTGAATCATTCACTCCCTCCTAAATGGTGAAAGCTGGGGGCTTGCATGTTGAAGAATAGTTTTTCTTCTCAAAATTAGCTAAGCTAATTTTCTTTCACTCACATCCCTACCATACTGTTAAATTGTGATACTTACTCTCTTACTGTAGGAGTAAAACCTGAAGCGTTTTGCTACAGGGACTTATGAAAGGAATTTCGATGTCCTCCTTTATATTTCGTACAGTGCCAGTATGATCATGTCCTGTATCTAGCACCTTCTAATGCCAGGATTCACTTGTATGTACATGCTTTCCATTTAGTTATTCAGCATCCTGCCTAAAGAAGTCAGGATAATAGGATTTTAAAGGAGAAAAGCAGTTAGGCACTTAACCCTTGTTAGCAATTTCCAGGAGTCAAGTAAGCTTTTGAAAGGCTTCTGAATTAATTGAATAAAATGCATGTTTGAAAGATATGAAATAATGAGGTCTCTTTTCCTACTGGTTTTTGTGTTTTTTGTTCTGTTAATGTTTTTGTGCAGGAATTGTACATAGTATATTAGTCTGGATGATTAACAGCAGACTCATTCATTTCCTTAATGTTTCCTTCAGTGAAGGGGTATGTACTGCATGTAAGGGAGCAGCAAGGTCAGAAAAGGGATGGAAGTCTGGGACTTAAGAATCATGACAAAGAAAACAAGAAGTAAAGACTTGGTCAGCAAGGGGAGCTCTCCCCACCCAGGATGGAAATGCAGGGTATATGCAGGTCTGGTGACAGTAGGCAGGGTCAATCAAGAATGTAGATTGACAGGCAGGTCCAAGCTCAAACCTGCAGAATCAAGTCTATAGATTAAGATCAGGATCCAGATCACTGGGATGCATGTCCAGATGAAGACATGGCTGCCACTGCAGCATAGCTCAGATGGAGATCACGCATGAGAGCTGCAAAAAAAAGCTACCAAGTGAAAAATTTGACATGTCCACTGAGGCAGATTCTCACTTTTCCTCAAAGAGTTGCAAGGCTTGACAAGGTTTCTCAAATAGCTTTCTTTTATCAGAGAACCAGCCTTCAACAGGGTGCTAAGCTTGAGCCTGTGGGGACAACACCAGCCAGGCCCTGACACTGGCATGCAGGACTCTCCAAGTAACTCTTTGATCAGCTTTCACAGCTATAAGATTTACTCCTTGCTTGCTATATCCAGGGTTTTCCATTATCTTCTGGGGTTTTCCCCCTTCTGCCTCCTACCTCCCTTTTCTTAATGTTTATTCTTATTCAGTCATCCTACCTTTCATTTTATTCAGTTTTTTCCCTTTCCTTATATTACCAGTATGCATTCTCATGTCTGTTCTTTTGTAAAGTGCTTTTCTCCAGTCTTAGGTACATTAAAGTATGCAGGAGTGAACACACAGAGTAAATGTCATCTTATCTAACTATCCAGGTAGATGTTAGGTAATCATGTGCCTTCCTTTACAGTCAAGAGAGAAAAAGAAAGGTAACTCTGGAGGATGCTTCATCTCATCCTAAGACAGATATCCAAAATAGAAGGTGTACTCATAAGGTGCTTAGCCTTCTCTATTGACTAAAAAGACACACCTACATTATGAACACAACTAAATTTATGTGAGATAAAACATGTTTGTATATAAGATTTTCTCAGTGACTTACAGCTTACTGGAGGTTATAGAATAGAGCAAATCTTTTCTCTCACTTGAACCAGGCTAGAGGGCTTAGGATGCAGTACTTGTTTCTTGAGGAGAGATCTGGAATTAGTGCTCAGGTTGCCAGACTGTAACAGAATAAAGAACCATCAGTTCTAGACATCACATCATTAGCTTTAAATGGACTCGAAAAGGCTTTGATATCTTCAGGAGGTATATGCAAAGGGGTTCCACAAACCAGAGTGAACTATGGAGGGACAAGCCTCCTCATAGCAAGATGCATTTTCAATATATAATTAGTAGCTCAGTGCAACAGCTGTAGCTTGAAAAGACAGGGAAACAAAGAAAGGGAGAAAGCCCCTGGGAGTACAGACACTTAGATGAGTTGGATGACTATTGGTGTTCTGGCACTAATCCATGATTAATAGATGGAGTATATTATCAGTGCTAACTTTAATATAAATTTTTCTTTCTTCATTTTTTCTGTCTCTTCAGACCTGTGACGAGGAGCTGAGAACAGGTGCAAAGACAGAACGATGCCTTCAGGGGAAAAGCCTACTTCTGTGTACACTTATTCTCAGTACTGTCCTTGGCTTTACACTGCTTATCACCTACATCGTGATGACTTGTGCTCTAGGTATGATATCCTTTCCCTTTCTTCCTCATCCACCCCATTTGTAAGATCCCTTTCTCTCCAGTCTGCCTCCATTGTGTACTAAGCTTAGCATCAACGTTAAGAACCAGACTTTCAGAATCTCTGGGAACCATAACACCTTTTGTAAAAAAGTTACATTTTCCTACCTCTTCTTTGGGGAGAGATCCTCCACATCTGTCCTCCTCCTCTGCCTGCTATTCGATATGCCTGAGCCCAGTTTTCAGAGAGAGCATCATTATATTGCTTTGCATCTCATCAACATGTTCTGTCTGTAGTCACTTCCAGGAAAGTGAACAGAATCTGATATTTGGAGCTCCTCCTCCACCTTTCCATCTCTGGCTTAAGTCTAGTCCTGATTTTCTAGGATAGATCAGTGCAGTCACAGTGTAAAAGGAAAAGTCATAGTCTTTTGCTAATGGAGAAGCTGTGAGCATAGAGCAGAAATATTAATTTGCCTATCAAATTTGCTAAAGAACTATCTAGAGAATGGTTCATGGCAATATCTGAGCATATAGAATGCTCAATACTGAAGATGCATTTATATTGGTGGATGCAGACACTCCAAAATAAGCATTTTTGACCTTTTACCTAGCTTTTTTCTATTCATCTACCTGACATTTTTCTTTAGCTCTTGTTATGTGTTGGAGGCCATTCACTACATAGACCAAGAAAAAACTGTTAGTTTAGATCTTGTCTATTTCCACTCTACCAACCTTTTCCCATGTCAACTGTTGAAACCATAGTATGGGAAGTCTCACTTTAATTTACAGGTGGCTTGTTTCAGTAAATAATTGATCTCATCTGATGTCGATACAAGACACTGAACCAAAATGAGAACAAATACCCAGTGATTTGCAGCAGTTTAGATAAAGGGAGTCACAAATCAAAGTAAGATATTATAGAAAGTTTTTGTCCTCTTTTAAAAAATGTCATTGCTGAGGTATGTTTCCCGTACTTGAACAAACCATGTTTTAATCTTACGATCTTACTATTGCTGTGCTATGTCTTTCTTTTCCATCATGTGTTGACACTATCAGTTGCTTCTTGTTTATTGTTAGGCCAAATTTGGCTGGTTCAGAGAAAAGACACTGAGAAGGCAGAATAACCCTAACTGTGACTACCTAGGTAGTACAAAGAGAGAACACCACCTCTGGACTGATTACTTGCCCTTTATTTGAAGAATCTCCCTTATAAAGTGCAAAGACAATCCTCCTGGGAAGTAAAAGACAGAAGACATTTCACTCCATATTCAGCAAAAACTTACAAGGAATTTAACACTTTGCATGGAAAGGAGTTTGTACCAAAAATAAATCTTTTAGAGGAAATGTCCCACAGAGAATTGTTTGTTTGTTTGTTTGGTTTGGTTTTTTAGTTTTTTTGTTTCTGTTTTTGGTTTATTTGTTTGTTTGTTTGGAGTTGTTCTCACTCTCCACTGTTACTGCTCAGTTCTCTCCTATTTACTTTCTTCTCCAGGATCCTGTGATGTCAAGCCAGGTCTTGCTCTGTTGGAAAGACTCCTGAATTCTAGGAATGACACTGTAGAGCCCTGTGAGGATTTCTACAAATATGCCTGTGGCAACTGGAAAGGCAAACACTCAAGCAGAACCACAGAAGAATCACTAAATGTATTTGATGTGTTGTTGGAAGAAAATCTGTTGATCCTGAAAAGGCTTTTAGGTAGGGACAGATGATTGGTGTGTTACCTTCAGCAACTGCCTCAGTTAGAGCTGAGAGTACTAGTAACTGAGAGCACAATCATTTCTAACAGGGACTGAGTCCTATCTCTTCGTTCTTCTATCATTACAGGTACAGATTTATTTTTGAGCATATCATATTACAATAGCTGCATTTTAAACATTTTAATTACCCTTGCCAAGTGTAACAGATGAAAGTCAGATTTTAAAATTCTGACAACAACTCAAACTATTTTCTTGTTGTCTTGTAAAAGTAAGCACTTGTTGCTGTGCTTGCCTGAATGTGCACTCTAGTGATGTGGCCTGTCTCCATGTGGGACAGATATGGACTTAGATATGCACCATCTTCCTGCTGTGCTCCTGTTTCCATGCAAAGAATGTCACATATTTGGCCTCAGGAAGAGCTGTGGCACCAGAAAGCCCCTTGCTTTGAATCGCTGTGGAAAATGTGGATGTATTTATTGAAATGTTCTGAATCAAAGCGTAGTATTTTCTTACAACTGTTCTCTGCTTTAACACTGTACCAACTTCTTTTTTAAATCACTTTTTAAATTTTTAATCTTTTTTTTTTTTTCTCAGAGAGTCCACAGTTTGGGATAAGAGGCTCAGCCCAGGAGAAAGCAATGCAATTCTATCGTTCCTGCATGAATATCGAACAGATAGAATCTCAAGGAGCTCAGCCATTGAAGGACCTCCTAAATCAGGTGAATATTAGTGCTATTTCCTCTCCTTTCAGAAGATAATTCCTTCAAGAAGGAAAGTGTGCAGTTAGGATCATATGGTCCTACAGCATGTAATTTTTCTAGCATCTGGCCCTGAAATAAACTCATGGTTCACAACACAACTTCCAAGTGATAAATCTTCTAGCTTTAAATACAGTTTCAATATCTGATTTTCTGACATCAGAAAATCATCTGAATCTTTCCTCATAACCCTGTACATTACTTAAGGATGGTCAAAAACCAAAGACTACAAAGAGGGATCGTGTTTAATCTCAGCTTAGTTTCAATAGTATCTGACTTACAGGCCAGGGAACATCTTGCAAACAGCTAAAATTTTTGTGTCTAAAATCTGATGGCCATCCAGTGGTCCAGGCTTCAAAGGGAGCTTGTTTAAAGAATAAAATTTTTCTCTTTCCATTCTGGAAGACTCCTCTTAGTGCCATGGAGGGTTATACATCTTCCTGCCACCAAAAGAGCATTTATGTCTTATCTCCAAGGAGGGTGCAGAACTTTCCAGCAGAAAGAACTACAGGCCCACCTGTGAATCCGATTGCCAGGGAAGTGGGACCTGCGAGCCCTGATTCCTGGTTGTTCTGGTTGTTGGATGCCTTTAGAAAACGTCTTTCCTCTCTCCTGCTTATCTAGCTTATTTTTCCTGCACACCTTGCTCTGCTGATAATTATAATTCCTTTTCCATGTGTCATATTCAGTTCATTGCTTTGCTTGAGGGAAAGTGTCAGGTCATTTTAAAGCCATCAGAGCTCTTCACAAGTTCCCCTGTTGCTATTTGCGTTGTTGCTTCACAGTTGTCATAATGACTAAGCTCATAGGTGTGAAAAAAATTTTGTAAATATGGATCAAACAAGTTTTTCTCACCTGCAGCCTTGCTGTCTCCCTCCCTCTCTAGGTTGGTGGATGGAGTATCACAGATGTGGAGGAAACAAAAGATTTTAATGAAACTCTCCAGATTCTTATGGGCAGATACAACACCTTTCCCTTTTTCAGAGTCCACGTGGGACCTATTCCTTCTGACCCCAAAACCAATATTATTCAGGTGAGTGTGCTAAAGAAAGAGCACTACCAGGAAGCACTATGAGTAAAGAGTCAGACCAAGGCTTGGTCAAGTTAAGCCTATATTCTTCTCTGAGGAAAGTTTTCCTAAATTTCAGTAAAACTCTTGATTTTATCACGTAAATATGTTATAAAAAGAAATTTATTAACATTTCAAATTCCATAATACAAAAATTACCAAAGCCTGCAGAGCATATTCTCACATTTCCAGGGTTTCTGGAAATAGTGAGATGTTTTTCCTTTACTCCTTTTTGCAGATTGACCATCCTGAGTTTGAGTTGCCACCTGAGAGTGAATTCAAAGAAAAAAATTATCTTGAGGTAACATATCAGAGGCTGAAGCAAGGTAAAAATGGCTATTTGGTAAAGGGATCTCCTTGAATTGCCTCCTGGTTCAGAGTGGTCTATTTCCATGGGTTACGGTCAGTCACCTCTGAAAATGACTCCAGAAGGAATTCTTTACAGAACTCTACTTTTCCGAAAGGATAGTTTGTAAAATGTAACCCATTTTAGATGCCAGATTTAAAACTTCTTATATAGAAACAGAATGCTAAAATTGTAGTTTATATTTGCCAAGTAATATGAACATGGCCTTCCCTTTGCGTTTCACCTTGAATGAATGTTTTTAGAAAATCTCTTTGTCCAAAGTAAAGCTTTATAACAAAATCTGTGTATTGGGGGCAGAGGTAGCTAACATTTTTATAGTTATTTTAAAATGTTCAAACATAAGTTGGGGAAACAAGCTCTTTGACCCTGAGAGTTATTGTAACAAAATTAATTTGACATTTTTCTGAACTTCGTAAACACTGAGTTGTTTTCAGTTTCTCAGTCTGAGTCTTTCAGAAGAGTCCTCAAAGAAAACTAAACCTGTCTACCTGTCACAAGCATTCCTTTGATACCTCATAAAGATTGAAACTAGAAGCTGACATTTTCTCTCAATCAAAAATACTGGCTCATTATATCACTACATTTCTTTCCAGAGGTGGCAGGCCCGTACCTCTAAAATTATTCTAGTATTTAAAGTAATTGTAGTCTGTGACAAAAATAATCTTTGGGGATTTCAGTGTTCTTCACTGAGAAAGGAACTGCACCTGAGAAACTGTACTCCACATGTGAATGTTGCAGTGAGAAGACAGTTTTAGGGGCGGGTCTGCAGAAGTTTTGAAAGATTGAAGTTTATATGGTGAAGATGGATGGTTGGATGGTTGGATGGATGGATGGATGGATGAATGGGGTTATTAATTTTCAGTCATGTTCCTCCCACTGATCATACAGTCTGTATTGCAGGTTCTCCGTGTGTATCTTTCATATTTGAGGAAACTGGGGGTCCTACTTGGAGGGACACAGGATGGTCCCCCTGATTCCTTTTCCCCTACCTTGGCCTTCATCTCTAACCTCCAACAAGTTGTCACCCCACTGAAGAAAAGACAGGAGAGCGGGATGCTGTTCTTTCGCACCACCATTAGGGAGCTACAGGTATCTATGCCTTAGAACTTAAGTAACATGATTACATGTGACATTCAAATTGTGAAGATCCAGATCAAAAGACAAAGGAGATACTCTCTTTGGATGCCATTGTCTTGCAACTTAGACTTGGGGAGCCTGTTGAGCTTGAAATAACTTATAAACTTATGATCTTTAACTGACAGCAGTTGGATTTTTTCAGGCCCAAAATTCTCTCCCCTCTCCTGTGCTAATTTCCTTTTCTACTACGATCAATATACACATCATAAAAACAACTGGACTTGTTGAAAGTATCTCTTAACAGTATTAGAAAGATTATTCTATTTCCCTATTATTTCTTGTGAGTCAATTTAGATCCATACTTCAGTATGTAAGCTTTGTTTTACTTCCAGGAAAATGCACCTGCTATTGACTGGCTGTCATGTCTCCAGGCTGTCTTCCATCCCATGCCAATGAACCTCTCTCAGCCAATTGCAGTGCATGACATGGATTACTTAAGAGGCATGTCACAACTCATCGAAAAATGGCACAAGGGAAGGTAGGAGTAGTCCATATCTGTGGCTGTAGTTGTTCATGCCCCAAGAAATATTTACTTCAGATACCATGAATTAAATAAGTCTGTGTCAGAGGCTGCTGAATCCAGTAGTATAACAATTGCAAGGCTACTGTGGCTCTATATCCACAGATCTGGCCAATACTAAGGCTTAGCATATATTCCCAATAGGCTTGCATGCATGCACCATATATGAACACATATATAAAAATATATCATATATATATGTATGTGTGTCTGTGTATGTGCGAGTGTGATCAATAGAGATGGAACACAGCACCTTTGCTGTAGCACTAATATAAACATGAACAACTCAGACAGCCTGATCCTATTCCCCAGCTCCAGCTAATCAGGACTGGTCTATACTAGCGAAATACATATTTGCACACACAAAATACGGATCACTCCAGTAGCTGGTCTTAGATATTCAATCTGTCCAGAAGCTAACCCTAGATTCCCTGGTGTCCATAGCTGCTGGCACTTGTGTTTATTACCTGGATATGAGCCCCTAAGTCTTGCAGCCCTACTTTGGTTACAGTTACTCTGGTCTCTTCCTGTTAAAAACACATATATACAAACAGATCTCTCCAGTACCCGGTCCAAACCACTAGTATCTCCGATAGCCAACTCTCAGACTTCTCTTTCCAGCAACTAACTCGAACAAAAGTCCCTCCCACAGCCAACTCTTAGCCAACTCTCTCCAGTATTCAGATCCATCCCCAAACACAACAAATAGAATGTTAGTTAAGAATAGTATTTAATAAAATAGGGTGTATCCTAGTGACAATGTGCAGGGCTCAGTCAGATAGATACCCTGGCAAGCCACAAATTTACATTCAACCATTCTCTCTCACCACCTTTCCTCTCCATTTTCCCATGTATGTTCTCCCAATCCACCACGATCTTTCCATTTCCCTGCCTTTGGTCCTTCCCATAAACATGCCGTAATAAAGTCTCACAGAATCCCACAGACCTCTCAAAATATTCTTTAATAAGTTTCACCTAGTCCTGAAAATTATCTTTCTCTTACTTCCCATAAAGAATCCTGTGCCCCCACAGGCAATTACCCCTTGAGTCTCAATGATGTTCTGGGGAGTTTCTTTGGTTGACTCATGTCAAATCATCCTCCTTTGATAACCCCAGGTGTAGCCTATTCAGAGTGCTTTGTTGTCATTGTTCAGGTTCCTAGGGTTCCTCTGCCTCAAGGTACTCCTTTGACTCTTGCCTTACCTCTGTGTTTAGAGTGACTAGCCTTCAACCTTCTTCCTTTTTAAATGTCATTTTCCTACAGGGTCCTTCACATTTATATGATTGTTTGTTTGGTTGGGAATCTCTCCCCAGCCCTTGATAGTCGATTCCAAGATGTACGCCTGGACCTATATAAGATTCTTTATGGAAAAATGGGATCTAGAATGGTGAGTTAGTCTTTAATCACCTTCTTCAGCCTCCCTAGCAGCTGAAGGCCATAGATCATGTCTTCTGAAAGTTCTCTTGATGCCTTGTCTATATGGAGTTTCTTAGTTTTGGGGGGGGGGGGGAGAAATCTACTCTCACTAGGCCATTAATTTCTTTCTTTTTCTCAAGGAAATATGTGAGCAGACATGATACACGAAACTTTACAGAAGCTGAGTGCACTGTGTCATGGACTAGTGAACAAAATATAGATGATCACCTTTCTTCTATGTATTTTTCTCAACTAGCTTATGAATCTTCATCTTGAGTGAAAATAAGTGGAGTAAATCATAAGGAAATCAGTGTTTTAATTGATTAAATCTTTCTGAGATAGCTTAAATAGAACTACATTACTTATTCACTGCTGTTGTTTTTAGACAGCAATGTGTATGCTACTGATTGCACATCTACATATCTTTTTGCTGACTTCATATTTATTTGTCCTCACTCTCATGTGTCTATTTCTTTCTCTGTTCTTACAGATCCCAACTGAGCGCTGGAGGAAGTGCTTGACTGATACCAGCTCTTTCTTTGAGCCAGTTCTAGGGAAGATGATTGTGCAAGAAATTTTTCCTCAGCAGACCAAGAAACTTGTAGGTATTCATCATCTTACCCTCCAAGCAGAGTGCAGCTTCACCTTTCTTTTTTTGACATGCCAACTTATGACCACATCAAGGCAGCAAAATCATGTGTAGGTTTTATACCTTTTTACATATTCCTGTGCTTATGCACTTTCCCTCCTTTTTTGGGAGTGAGACATGTCAGAACAAGACATTGCTGTCATTGCTAGAATAACCAAAGCTAAATACCAGTTATTACCTTTGTCTCAACTGTTAGCAAAGTCGTATATGTGTGTCACCAATAGCTATGACAGCTCTAAAAATACATGCAATCTCAATGTGCTCTGTGGAATAACAGTTAAGTATTAACAGTATTCATCACCAATATAATATATTTCAATAAGATTTTCAGTAACAGAGCCATTAAGCAATCATATGACCAGTTGTAAAGAAACAAATCAATGCCAACACATTCTGAGTGTATCTACAGTAAAAGGAGCAGTTAGCATAGCCATAGTTTTTGTGAGAGGCAAGATGAAAAGGTGTGTGGGAGAAAATAGGATGCCAAATAACTTTAGCCTAAATCACTGTGGAAACTGAAATCTCTTTCATCACAAAAAGAGGAAATTTTCCCCAATTATTCTGTAGTTGAATTGCTGGAGCAGGGGAAGATGGTAGCTAAGCCTGAACAATGTTCTTCTGCAGCTGTGACCATTCTGTCTTTTCTCCATGGCAGGCTGAGCAGATGTTCTCTGAGATCCAAGATGCTCTCTATGACCGACTGGATGAGTTGGAATGGATGGATGAACAGACTCGCCAAAGCGCTAAAATCTCGGTGTGTGCAGAAGGCAGAAGTTACTGAGGCCTTCCTTTCCCTGAAGCCTTTGGAGAAGGAATGGAAGAGGCCTGCACCTTCACATATTCCTACCTGCTTCTACAGGCACACAATCTTAAATAGATGTTTTATACATACTAAACACTGAAAGTGGTTTTATAAGTGCCATCATGCATGTGCACAGACATTGATGTGTAGGCATAGAGAGGCTCAGTTTTTGTTTGTCCATGGATACTTTGAATTAATTGCATTGAGATACAATTCAGTTTTATACACCTAGAGAGGTTAAAAGCTATAAAGCTGAATGGCAGAAAACAATGATATAAAGAAAAAGAAGAGTAGAACAACATTAGGCCTCAGGTTGGAGAGTTAAGAAAGAGAAACAGAGTAGCTGTCATTTTGAAGGGCTGACACAGATCATGCTTACATTGTTTAGAAATAGCATTTAAAAGGACTTGCAGAATGTAAAGCCTCCTATTGATCATGTTTCTTTTTGTTCGTTTATTTGTTTATTATTATTTTAGGTTTCCAAACTACAGGTGGAGATTGGCTATCCAGCTCACACACTCCAGACTGCCAAAGTGAACCTGGAATACCAGAATGTGAGCTATATAATGTAAACATGCCTGTCTCGTTTTTGGCAGTTTACCAGTACCAACTGCTATCATGTCTGCTTATGAAAGAAGTTATGACCTCTGGAGCAATGCACATTTCCTACTGTTCATTTTGTGGGGATATATGGGCCCAGAGAACCTTTGTTCTATACTGTTGTCTATGCTGTCTCCTATTTAGAGTGGCTGGCCTGATAGAAGCAATTTTTGATCTGTTGGTATGTTCTGCTTGGCCTGCAGATAACATTCCTGTCCTATCTTAAACTGAAGGTCTTTAAAACTTGAAGAGAAAAAACCTACAAGTATCCCATTGGTTTCTCTTTTGATTAACCCTTTTTTGACCTGTGGAACTTTTCTTTTTCTTTTACTGTTCAATTCATTCCTTGCTTATGCCCTATGACAGTCACATTAGCTGTCTCTTCCCTCAGCTGGAGATAAATGAAGACACCTTTTTCCTCAATGTGGTGGCCTGCTTGAAGATCCTGAGGGAAAATTCCTACCTGAAAATCCTTCAGCATCACCCACAGAATAAGTAAGTCAGAAAGTGATCTGAAAAATGTAACAGAATTACACAACTGTGAACTAACTGAGGTTGGAAGTGACTTATGGAGATCACCCAGTCAAATTCTCCTGTCAAAGCAGGATTAGATAGAGCAGATCACTCAGGACCATGACCAATTGTATGTCTGTATCTCTCTTTTACTGTGGAAGGAGAGGGAGAGCAAGTGGGGAGCAGTGGGCAGAATTGGGCATAGTACTTCTAAATGTGGTTTCACCAGCTCTGAATGTTGCTGCACCCTCCTTTAAAAAGCCTTGAACTGGATAACCTATCCTGTGTTCAGCTTGAGCACATGCTGCCAAAATACCCCACCATTTTGGAGAGAGTCCCAGACTCTTGAAAACACCCCACTTTTTTTGCCCATGCTCTCTTGAGTAAGGGGGATAGCTGGTTCTCCTGGACCTCACAGCAAAGGAAATAGCAGAGCACTGTGATGATGTGAATGCTGGCAGGACACAGGATGCTTCAGAAGGCAGGCAGCATTGTCAAGTGTGCTTAGGGCCTTACACTTCCTGAAGAGTATTCTGTGCAGGACTTCACAGGTAGTTGATAAGAAAATTGTGAGGGAGAATCCCTTCATGTGTAAGAAAATTAAGCTATTAGCTCTGACCATCTGTAAACAAGTGAAGGTTTATTTTGAACACCTGGAATTAGATGTGAATTTCATCATTTGCTGGAGGAAAGGAACAAAATTTGAGATAAGAAGTTAGTACATTCTCTAATTTCTTTCTTTCTTTTTTTTTTTTTTTTTACTTCTAGGTGGCATGTGTATCCCTGGAGTGTGCATTCATACTACTCGATAAGGCACCACATGGTGGTCTTTCCTGCTGGAATGTTTCGCAGCCCTTTTTTCCACATAGAGTTTCCCAGGTACAGAGGGGCTGCAAAGGTGGAAGCTGAATGTAGTCCCTGGGCTGCACCATTCTTCCAGGAAGTATCTTAATGAGTTAATGAGTCTGTCTTTAACTTCTTTTTATTATTGCATCCCAGAAAGACACAGTAAAAGGGGAAAACCAGCTTTTTCTGAAGCCAGATGAATACTGTCTTATGACTTCTGAAAGAGAGTGATCATTGACTCTGCTGGAGCAAAATCAGAATCTAGGTGATCTAGTGTATTACTAGATCTAGGATATTACTGGAATCTAGTGTATTACTTCAGAGCAAAGAGTTAGAAGTCTCATGTAGGTAAACTGTAAAGTAGACATTTCACCTGTGCCTCTCATTTTCAAGATTCCAAGAATTCCTAAAATTCAAGCCATAGAAACCTAACCCAGAGAAAACAGGAGCCTCACAGAGCAAATTCTTGTCAGAACTCTTTTCCAAATGTATCCAGTTCTCCTTCTTTTTTTTTTCCTTCTAGAAACCTTTTCTAGAAAAGGTCTAGAAGAATTAAGCAAATAGATTTTTAATTCTGAGTCTTTCCCTGCAACAAGAACACTTCTGTAGACCATACCACTCTGGTTGGGTTCTTTCTTCATATAGAATGGATCTCTTAAGCAATATTTTTTCTCATATTAAAAGCACTTAAAGCAGTTGACCGTAAACATATCAACCAATGTCCTTTTTTGCTGATAATGGATAGATACTTCTCTTAATACCATAGCAGTGAAAGATAAGCTTACGCTGTGGCGAAAGTCTGAAGTTTGAAAGAAACACGTCTCAGTTAAAAGTAATTATTTTCTCCATGGTAATGTTCTAGTTCTTGCAGTATTTAACGAATTCATTATAGTATTAAGAAAAGGGGATCTCAAAAGAATAATAGAAAAGAAATACTTTTTCTGGTGCTGTGGGCTGCACTTACCATATTCTTACTCTCAGCTTCTTATTCCTTTTGTATTCAGTGTTAGTAAAATACATTTTTCTCACTGTCACCTTATTAAATAGACTGATAAGACAAACTTGATCAGCTTTTGGTGAATTGGCACAATAGCATTTTCTCAGATGATGCTCCAGAGTTTAAACTTTACTGGCAAGAGCCAATTCACATGACTGTGAGGATAAACTTTAAAACAAGAGGTCATAAAAGCAGTACAATTGTTATAGTATCATAGAATGGTTTGGGTTGGAAGGACCTTGAAGGTCAGCTAGTTCCAACCCACCTGCCATGGGCAGGGACACCTTCCAGTAAACCAGGTTGCTCAGAACCCCATTCAGACTGGCTGTGAACACTTCCAGGGGTGGGACATCCACAGCTTCTCTGGGCAACAATTATAAGTTATCAGCTTCTGAAAGAGCAATTCTAAGAGAAGATGAACTGTTCTTGTCACTTCCTACTGAGTTCCCAGTGATGTAGTGCAATAATTTCATGCATCAGCCGTGCTAATCAGTGCATGGGAAGAAAGAATGAGCCCATAATTTCATATAATGGAAATACAATTTGAGTGTACTCTTCCTTGTGTGACTACTTGTAAATTCATGGCATAGAAGCATAGAAATTCCATTTAGAAAAAACTACTGGAGGTCTCTAGTACAATCTCTTGCTAGTAGCAAGATTGCCAATGCAAGACCAAGGAAATTGAAGTCAAACCTTCATGTTTTTAATTTGCCTTGCCAATTTATGTATCATTTCTCACTAGACAACTGTTACAAGATTGCTTCTCCAAACATCCTACTTTTATGTGGTTACCATTACAGTTGTTGTTTGTGGTGAAAATCAGGGGTAAATAAGGACATATTTCAACAACAATACATGTCATTACAGTTCATAAAAGCAGAACCTCATTCACAGATTCTTCATTGTTTTGATGGCTCATTAGCTACAAATACTTTAAAATAATCCCATAGTATAACTTTAAGCATTTGTAGGATAATTTACACTGGTATTTGCATTTTTACATATCTGAGCAACAATAAATAGGAAGTGCTTGTGTGCTCTCAGAGTAGAATACTCCTGTTGAGCCCACGGTTGTGCTCAGTGGCTATAAGGAATGCTCATCTGCCCTCTTTTTCTTTCCAAAAGCGCTCTTTTCATCTTTATTTTTCAGTGCTGTGAACTTTGGAGCCATCGGGGTCTTCATGGCACATGAAATTCTCCACTCGTTCTATGGTTATGGTGGGTACTGGCTTTTTATTTACTCTTCTAGGTCCCACTGGTACTTTCCCTTAGGCCATATGAAATCCTAGTCACTATTTTAATGTATACATATATCATTAAGGTAGATGAAGTTAAGTAAACCCCATTCCAGCCCAAACTGACTACTAAGAAGAACCAGGGATTAATGTTAAGAACACAGACAAATGCCATAAATAGCGTTACTTTCTAGGATTTTTTTTCCCACAGTGTTGCCTGAGGGCTGTCCTACATGCAACAGGAGTGCACTACAAAAATCTATAGACTGCTTGGTTGAACAGTATGAAAGCTACAGCTTTAATGTCAGTGGCACTTTTACACTGTTGGAGAATACAGCTGACACCGGAGGGCTCACCATTGCTTACCAGGTATTGTAGTTTACTTCTCTAATCTCATAGTCTCACCACACAACTCAACTGCCATGTCAGAGGATTGCTCTGCTGTACCCCTCTCCTGTATGCTGCTTCAGTTCCATATTTCTTGCACACTTGTGCCAGTGAACTATGAGCCCTTCATGCCCTCTGTTATTCCAGAGGATCCTCAAGAAGCTTTGCTTGTAACCTCACTACTTCCATGTAAGACAACTTCTCCCCTTCACCATCTTTACTTCCCCATTTATGTTATGCATACAAAAGCATGCTATTATTTATGTGTATGTTATACTTGAGGAAGTAAGCTGAGACATGAAACAGAATTCTGTGTTGTGGTAAAATGACTCCATAAAGATATTTTCAGCAATATTTTAATCTAGAGAGAGTTTTTTATTTCCTCATGCAGTGCTTCAGCAGTTTAATTACTGGGAGTGCTGTGAGATCCATAGGTCTAAGATGGTACTTTTACATTCTTGCACGAAGAATGATAGGAGGTAAAAAGTCTTTTAATTTACACTCAAATATTTGTGAATTGTTTTGAACATAATTTTCATTCTTACGTTGTCCAGTTACCACATCTTCTCTTATGACAGTATGTGTGGGAGTATCTGATATGGGAAGGAATTATGTTGTTATTCTTCCACAGTAGAATTATTAGGGGCATGGCCAGCAGCAGAGAGCCTCAGAGTGAGGTGAATGATACAATCTTGCTAATTTATTAAATATGTATTAGATTGATAGATTTCATTGGCATAAGACATGAGCTTGGGTTACTGTCTGAAGGAGTATTTATTATTACCCATTTTCTCTCTCCACAGGCCTATAAGAACTGGCAGAAAAAGCACAAAGAAGAGAAGGATTTACCTAAGATTGGACTTTCACATGATCAACTTTTCTACCTCAGTTTTGCTCATGTAATGAGTTCTAAGCTAGTCATGTGTCTTTCTCACTCTCCATTATTAGTTTGTCTTTCTTGATATTCAGTTTCTGTTCCCTCTCTTCACAGAACTGGGAATGACCGATAAATCTGTGACATTCAGAATATTATTTAGAAACTAAAATTCACAGATATGGGCCCTGTTACAGATCTCAAAGCTAACAAAAGTCCTGTCTGCAGATAGAACTTTTACAAAGATCTGAAATCTACCAAAATTAACTCATAGCAGACAAGCTGTGTCAGGGAAAGCATTGCCAGCTTCTGAGTAGTTTTTTTGCTGTTGAGTGAAATCTTACTGCAAAAGTCCATCCCTTCCTCCATTTGCCTTTCTGTCTTGCTGAATAACTAGATGTCTTATCATTTTGAGTGACTACTAGTGAAAAAAAGAGTCTCAAATGTTATTTAGAGATAAAGAACTAGAAGGACATGCACACATAGTTAGATATTTCTGTGGGAACCTGCTTTAAGGATTTCTACAAAGTTGTGCAATTGTGCATAGCTGTGCTGTTGAGTTCCTTGTGATAGATCATTGGATTTCTGTGCTTAGAAAAGTCACGTCCTTGTAAGTCACTGTAATTGTGCAAAGGGAAAAGTTTTGTGCATATGTTGAGATTAGGTGAGAGCAGTGTGTAGAAAAGGAGATTATTTGGTCTAGGTGGCAAGATTTGCATTTCAGAAGTTGTCTGGCAGCTACTGCATCATTTGTCAATGAAAAAAGACTGAAATAACAAGAAGGAAGACTTGGATTGCCGGTTTAACACTAGTAAAGTCACATAATCCTCCCCCGAGTCTCTCAGGTAGTAATGAGATTTTGTGTAAGTGCTCTCCTGTCTTGAGGAGCACTCATTGATTTCACTTAAGAAGCTGAAACTAGACACTGAGACAATATCTTTACCATTACTTTAGATGGAGTCCAAGGTTGAATGATCCTAGCCAAGGTGGCCTAAATTCCCTGTGTTCTGGACTATACAGTACAGAAAAAGAACAGATGGCTTGTCAGATAGAGAAATTGGGACAGAGAAGTATAAGGAAAGGAAAAACAGTCATAAGAAAGATTTGAACATTGTTGGCAGCCATGTATGCATGTTGCCTTGTTTACTCTAGCACCCCCAGACGGGTAGAGAGGTGTGAGGAGCCTTAAATCTTGATGACATGAGGACTTTCACCTAAACTGACTTCTCTATTTTACTTCCTTTCAGGCAATGTGTGGACACCAGGAACCAGAAAAGCTACAGTTTTCCCTGAACACAGATCCGCATAGTCCCTTGCCACTTCGTGTCTGTGGGCCTGTCAGCAATAGCCAGGACTTCTCCAAGCTCTTCCGCTGTCCCAGTGGATCCCCAATGAACCCAGACAACAAATGCCGCATCTGGTAATCTGCATGGGAAAGGAGGAAGAGAGATATGACCCCAGGGACAGGAAGGCCTGACCGTGAAAGTATGACTATCTTCGCAGGGCCCCTGGGGTGACATGGGTGACCTTCCTTTACCTTCCTTTTCTTGTTATCCTCTCTGTAGAAGTTGATGGTAAGGAAATTTTTAAACTGAGTTTGTAAGTGAAGAAGATCTCCTCCAAGGCTCTCAGAACTCTGTCCCAGATGTAACTCTGGAGTGTAACAAGTCCCAAGGTAGCAAGGTGACAACCCAGTCTCTAGCAGACAGCAACTTCTGAGGAGCTATAAACAGAAAGACTGCTGCATTACTAGTCCTTCTATTCAGTCTATCCCAGCAGCTTCCCAGTCATGTTTAATGGACAGGTCAATAAGCTGGAGCTCTAAGACTTGTTCATGAATGAATGACTCCTAGGAAAATGCTATGGGTTACTATGCAAGCCACACATGTACTTTATAAGAGAGGGAAGAATCCTCTTCTCTTCTTTTACTAATAAATTGAGACAGGTACTAGGAAAGACTCAGTGACTACAGTTTCCAGGCTGAAAGATGTTACTTAAGGTTACTGAAGGCCTTCTCTGTTCTGTTTTTGTAATAATGAAGGTTATTGAAGGCTTTCTCTGTTCCATTTTTGTAATAATGAAGGTACTGAAGGCCTTCTCTGTTCTGTTTTTGTTTAATCATAAAAACTTAAAAGAGAAAAAAGGGGAAAGACTAAAGCATCCCCATTAGTGAAAAAGGGATTGGGAGCTGAGAACAGATTCTCTTTCTTCTTTCTTTTTCAACAAGACTTTCTTTTTTAGTCTCTAGGGTTAAAGATATGGTTGAGGGTGGAGTATGGGACAGTCACGGGGATTTCTAGAAGTCTCTGAAGATTGATTAATTAGAAATCCAAGAATTTCTCTGGATCCTGAACCTGGTTCTCTCATTCCTGGAAGTTCTCTCATCCCTACATTTGTAAATATTTACCATCTAAACAGACAAGTAGAGCTGCTGCAGGATTTTACTTTCTACTTAAAATTGGATTTTAGGTGTTAATTTAATTTGAAGGAAAAACAGACTAAGAAGCAATATGTTTTGGGGTAGCAGGAGAAGTGCTTAAAATACATTCTCAAGATCAACTTAATAATTACATCCATTTCAGGTTCTCATAATTAGAAAATTTATACCAATATTCTAAAATTTACCAAAGTCAATAAGAATAAAAAATACTCCTACCTTTTGCATACTCTTCAAACTGTTCTTGATTATGGGAGCATCTTTATTTTACCTGTTATATTGGCGGTATGGGGATTGTTTGTGGAATAGGTGGAAACATCCCTCATCAATGTAAGCCTTGTAAAAATAACTGTGTTAATACTTTCTAAGTACTGACCAATGCGGCAAAATATTTTCCAAGAACAGACTGTTTAGATATTTTGTTTTCATTACTTAACTAAAATATTAATAAAGAAATTACTTTGATTGCAAACTCTTTATGATCAGGCCTGTTTCTTTGTGCTGTATTTGCACTGTTCCCAACAGAATTGTCATTCTTAGCTGAACTTCCAAGTCATAGATAATAATACTTCAAAATTATTTATTTACTCATCATAAAAAATAACAAAATTGGACCTGTGCTTGTTGTTACCATTTAAACAGTGTATAGTCCTCCTTCACTCATTGTTTTCTCCTAGCAGCATGTCCAGACTGTCTTTTTTTTTAGATGTTAATATCAGTTAACATTGCACAACACATTGTGTGTAATACAGATGTCATTTCAGTGTTCTGAGACTAGTTGATTTCTTAGTTTATACTGTTTAGAAAAACAAAAGCCATTGACAGTCTGCATTGTGAGGAATCTAAACTTTTCTTGTATCTATCTTGTTAAGTGTATATGGGCTACCGTTCCCTGGAATATGCATTTTTCTCTTGTTCTTACAATATATGATGAATTTATGAATATTCTACTTAAAAGACAGAGTCACCCTGAAGTTGAATCAATTCTTATTAGAAACTATGATGTTTTTACACGAAGAATGTATGGGAAGTGCAAGAAGGGAGGTCTGACTTAGAAAAAATTACATGAGTCTTGGATTGAGAATTTATTGTGTTTCTCAAGGAGAAAGAAAAACACTTTCAATACATGCAGAAGGTCTCTGCCTTGGTCTTCAGTGTTCCCTGGGATGTGGTTGATGAAGAGAAGCCGTATTGTCCAGGAGGTGACCATGAAACACAGGTAGATGCTCAAATTGTTATCATCCATGATCACAGGAATTATTTCATGCTCTACGTCATGCATAAAAAAAAGAACACAACGCTGCCAATCTTCAGGGAAAGAGCCAGATCCAACAGCAGGTCCTTCACCGCTGCGTTGCTCAGTGTCTCTGAGTCCTCAGGCTGCACCATATCGATCACCTCCATTCCTTCCCCTGTTGAGGAAGCCACAAAAGTTTCCTCCATTTCCTCCCAACCTGTGACTGGGGTGAAAAGGAGACAACATAAGCTTTCTTCTTCTTCACTTCTTTCATACTTTTCATCTTTTCATACTTCTTTCATCCTTTATACCTCTGCTTCCCTCCCCTACTTTTCTTGCCCTGCTTTCTAAACTTTCAAATCCATCTCACCCTTACTATATGTCCATTTTCTCCTTCATCCTAAACAGATTTGCATTATACCCCATTCCATCTCTGCTTCTGTTGTCCTTTTCTTGTTTCTGTGATTCTGTTTTTGAAATCTTTTATTTTAGAAGTTGCTTTGTCCTTACTCTCCTTCCTTTGCATCTTCTTCCTTTCCTTTTTTCCTGTACTTTTATATTATAAGTCATCTCAGATACATTTACCTTCTTTTATCTTTTCAGGACCATGATTGTAGTAATAGGCTGTAGTGGCTCTTGACAGCCCCAGCTGGAGCCTCTACCTGAATCCCATGGGTTCAGGGGCTTTATTTAAGCTAGGGCCTGGGTCTCAGACCTGTATTTGTGGCCTGTTGCAAGTATACCTATCTCCACCTCCATCTCCATCACAGCTGTGCCTGACTGGACCTTGTTATTCTGGATCTTGACCTACAAATTGTCTTCCTGTTTTGACCTTGAATATAGCTTAACACTATGGACTTGCCTGCAGTAATGGACTGTGTCTGACCCTGATTTCTTTCATTTCTTTCTTGCTCCCCAGGAGCGGCCTGGACCTTTCCTTTTGGATCTCTGTAGGGTTTGAGGGGGACCAGCTGAGATGGGAGGCTGCAGTCAGGGCCATGGGTGATCTAAGAGGCCTTAATATCCATGAACCAGCCTGAACTTGTGCCTCTCCCACATCCTCTGCCCTGTAAGTGTAGGGCTGGGCAGTCACTGGACTGTGTCTGATCCTGGTCACCATCACTACATTTGACCCTGACACTGATTGGTATTTCTTCTTGAACTTGGACTTGTTTCAACATCATGGACTTCCCTGGTGACCTCTTGTCTGGTCCTGACTGCCATACCCAGGCCTGTCCTGCTCAGGCCCTTGCTCTCTCATTCTGTTGCTGGCTCCCTATTCCTTAGGGACCATCTGACCCCCACTTCTCCTTGACATATATGTTCTTGTTCCCCCTCTGATTTTCTCCTTACAAAACCAAGCTTCTGTGTCCACACCCTATCTCATTTCCTGTCTTAGTTGGTCTCCAAGCCCCTTCTTTCTCATCCTCCCACTTCAACCCTTCCTCTCACCTGCTGATGGACTGTTTCCCTCTTGCTGTCCATTCTTGGCAGTGTGAATCATGATCTGGCTTTTCACTGGTGTGAAGGCATTAGAAAAGACTGAGCAGTAAGTAACTGGGAACAAACCCATAAGATAGATGGTAAATCCCAGAAAAACAATCAGGGTTTGATTATCCCCCATTCTGTTTTCCTGTCCAGCACAAGACACTTCTGCTCCTTGCTGCTTTTCAGCTAACAGAGTCTGGACTTAACTACCACCACAGTCTTGGTTGGGGCACATTGTGACATCATAGCACTCATCTGACATACAAAGATGTCATATGCAGTTAGGCAAAAACTTTGCGTCATATGTAGCTAACAACACTCTGAAGTAAGCAAATAGTGTGAACATTATTGGGAATAAAAAAAAAAAGGTGTATCTCATCTCAAAGTTTAAAAGAGAATGATGGAGACAGGATTATAACAATAGGATACCACCTGATATCAAAAGATAACACTTCATCTTGAACATATCTGTAACTAACAACTGTCTGAAACTGAACAAAAAATGTGCCAGTGGAGCGGACAATATAATGAATTTCCCACTTCAGTGTTTAACCACTTATTACTAATTTGTGCTACTTGACTCACACAGCCTCAATGAATAGAAATAAAATTTCAAGAAACTACAGTAGAATGACAAGCATGTGTTTTTAAATATCCTCTAGATGGTGATCTAACAACATCAATGAAGAAACAGCTTATTTTACAAAGCACCTATTCTCCATGGATTATTAGCCCTTACCATTCATTCTGCCAGACCAAACTGCCCACTCTGACTCTCTGTCCAGACTACATTTTAGGACTCTGATGGTGACTTTCCACCATGTAGCCTGGAAGATAATTTTCTAGCTATTTTCAAACTCGCATTTAACCCTAACTATCATTTGCTGCAGCAAATATCTTCCACATTTCCTGAATTTACGTACAACTTTATATTACTCTCCTTTGGCTTTCCCTTTTCCTTTGTTTTTTGGTGGGTTGTTTGGGTTTTTTTTTTTTGTTTGGTTTGGTTTTTGGTTGGTTGATTGTTGGGTTGTTCTGAGTTTTGTTTGGGGGGCGGAGGGTTGTCACTTTTTGGCAGGTTTTTTTTCCCTTTTCTACTATTATTACTATTTTTATTCAAGGTTTTCACTTTTTTTTCCCAAGATATCCAGAAAATTGTCTGGAATTTAGACAGGTCAGGAATTTAGCTTGTCAAATCAAGACAATCATTTTCTCAGGCCTATGAAAGTTACTACAGACTTAAGCACATGCAAGGATATATACATTCCCATTCATAGATACTGAGATTTCTACGCCAAGTGGTGGTCTTAGGTCATCTTGAGCTCACTGTCTAAGACATTCAAGGATTTTTTTTTCCAGCTAGTCTTCAAAAGATTTTACACTCAGCCTAGAAAGTGCTCATTAGAACCATACTGAAGGAACTTAGAAGTTCAATTTTTCAGAAATATTCATTAAGTGGAATTGTTGAGTATTACATGGCTGCCTAAATTTCTTACATACTGTCTCCTACTGAATGGTGTGTAATGCAGAGCAAGTTCAATACACCGTGTATCAGTAACTATACACTCTAGCACAGGAGTAGGACAGAAGCTTTAACACATCTGAAGACTGAGTGCATCAGAAAAGAGTAAGAGGGAGTGTGACTGGTATGTGGAATTTTCAGTCCTGCAGAGCAATTAGTAAAGCAACTTCAAGAGGCATGTTCCCTACAGAGATCTCTGGATCTAAAGGAATCTGCACCCAAATCAGTGTAAGATTGTATATCAAAGGTGTTCTGCATTCCTCGCAGGGAGTGCGAAATACTTGCAAGTCCTCACCTGCACCTCTGAAATTCTTTATTTCACTGAAGTAGGTGAGTAAATAGATGCTAGATGTGAAAACTCACACTACCACTGAGGTCATGGTGACATATTCATTCTGGCATAAGTCCATACTCCTGCCTCAGCAAGGGTTCCTGACACTGGACACTTGCTCCTACATCTTTTCCTTTGCTGACACTAGTGTTGATGTGGCTCAGTTTATGTGGTATATTAGGTGACAAAACCCTTCTAAATACCAGTTTTATTAGATCACTTTTCCCATATGTGAGTTTTAGATCCAGTTAACTGTGCAGTCACACAAAGGCTAGTCTGCAGCTAGCCAGCAGAAACAAATTATTAGGGTGGGATAGAGGAAGTCTAGATTGCCCTTTACTGAGTGACAGACATTAAAAATTCAATAGAAGCCATGGTCTTAAAAAGAAACTGACCACACAATCCTTGCTTGAGTACAGAGAGTTCTGACTCTCCTTTAGCTTTGTTTGTGGCTATATATGTTCACTAGAAAAGTATGTATAGTGAAATTAGGAAAAGGATGTACTAAGATGAAATGTGAAATGAGAAAGATTTAAACTAATAGCAGTGCTCTTTCAGTACAGCTCCATCTCTGAAGAATTCATAAAATCAAACTGCAAAATTCTTTAAAAAATTAAAAATATGGAGAACTGGACTCTCTGGCAAAGGTTTTTTTACTCAGCGTGGTTGACAATAGTAAAATATTCATCTGGCCATCTCAGACCTTGTATGCATATTACTCTGGATGCTCCCTATTGCAGTGTTTTGTGTATGTGGATGCAAGTGTGTGTGAAAATTTCAATTTGTATGCATTCAGGATAATAAAGATGGAGAAAAAAAGGTTGAATTAATTAAATTAATAATTACTGTTTTTTCCCCAACTTCATCTCTATTCCCAGAGTTGAATTATGCTTTATCAGGACTACCACCCCATGTGGAGGCAAAGATTATGCTACATTCTTCAGATTTATCTTCAATAAACTATCTTGTTTTAAAAGTTGTTGGATATTGAGCCTAAGTTGGACTTATTTTGATCTGAGTCTTTTTTTGCTTGGGCTTTCCTGGCCTGCACATTAGTAGATTAACATCACTTCTTCCTTCTGAAGAAGACTGGCCTCCATTCAAAAATCTTACTTCACATGATCTGGTCCTTTTCTGGAATCCTCACGGTCCTTTCTGCTTATTGTCACACAGGCTGCACTGGACAACAGATTCCTACCTGACGCTGTGCTTTTCTAGCCAGACCAAGAGATACAAGTTCATTTCTGCAGCCAGTGGAGTGGATTCTTAGTGTAGTCCAAAGGACTGCCCTTGGACTCCTTTAAAGCAGAAGCTCCAAGCTAGAAAAGAACAGTGGATATGGATTTCTCTGTCCTTACAATGGATCCAGAGTGGTGCAAAATGGGTAGCATAAGGGAGAGATGAATACATGGAAACAATTGGATAAACTGGAGTTATACCAATAATTTCTCTTTCTAGGGATTGTCACTCAATATTTCAGATTTTTGTCCCTTAGCAAATTCTACAACTTGACTCAGTGTGAGGTGCAAAGATGATGAAAATATCCAAGCCAGTAGAGCATATTGCCTTACCCCCCTCCCCCAGCCCAACCTGAGAGCAGTGGGCAAACTAGTTAATGTATGCTTTCTCCCTCATCAGGTTGAAAGAGCTGGTGCATGAAATCTAGTAAAGCAACTCTCCGGTCCAGTGAAGCACAGGACAATTGGCGGCACCTGAAAGGTTATCACTGTCTGCATCAGATGACTCTCCTATGTGAGGTCAAAACCCCATTGGATTTGTAATGAGGAGGTGGATGAGGCTGTAAAGTCATTCCCAAGTTGGAGCAGTGAGGGCCTTGGGGCAAAAAGGAGCCAATGGAGGGAAGAAAGGAAATGGACTGAAAGATCATAATCACTAAATTTCTGCATCCTACCTTAAGGCTGTATTCCTCAGAGAACAGGATAGTGCCGGGAAACTAAAGGCACACCCACTGTCTGGTTTTGATGCCCTGATCAGAAAACAGATAGAGATGGAGAAGTCGAGGATACTGCAGTCTGTAAAGGGGAGCAGATTCCCTTGTGAGTGCCCAGAACCACAAGAGCCAGGCAACAGTCTAGCGGGGAATGGCACAAGCAGAACTTTGTGAAGATCCCAGAAGAGAAATAAGTGGAAAGATGCAGAGCAGGACAGAGAGAACTGGCAGAGTTTTTGGGACCATAGGGTAGGAATGGCAGGTAGCTGCAAGACAGGAATGATGGATGTTGGGTTTGAGATGAATCAGCTGCTGCAGCTCAGGCCATAGGTAATTGTGAATGGAGGTCTGTAGTGAAGTGACTGCAGTCTATTCTATATTATGGCTACTGATCTGATCTTGCAGGAAGTCAAAACGTGCACTGCAAATTCTGAGAAACTAGTTCCCCTCTGCAGACTGTGTTTTTCATTTATCTGTCATGCATTATTATCAGAATGCTAACTAGTTGTTAGAATCTGTATCTCATGACTATCCTGTGCATTACACAGGAAGGCAGGTACCCCCCCTCTTTGCTTTCTCATGCAGAATTCACAGCTTCTAAGGTCATCAGTAAATAGAAAACTTAGAAGGAAGGGTCAAAGAGAGCAGAAGCCTGTCTGAGGTTTCAAAATTTGGCCACTTTTCACCACTAATATTGGATCCTGAAAAATAAAAATATCGTGCTTCTTTTAAGAGAAGGTACCAGCAGCCAGGTTGTATCATCCCAAGATGTGAAAGATCACATGCAAGATGTGAAGATAACATCCTTTCTCCAAATATTTTGTATATCTCACCAAGACACAGTAACAGCAAATGAAAAGCTTCTGAGCTGGGAGTGATGGATCATTATTTTAAAAAAGAGTGAAAATTGGATTTCTACTGAGACAGAGGCTGTGTAGCCACTTTCTCTTCTCATTGTCTTCTTGTGCAATTTTTGTTTTCATTTGCTTTTACTTGGATTACTGTTAATTATTTAAAATAACAACAGTAGAATTATACTCAAGACATATAGTATGAATCAAGCCTGTATTAAATCTGGTCTTTAATAGCAACGGAATGAGTCACCTCTATGAGGCAGTCCTTTCCAACAAGCTCAAACAGCTGTACTAGTACAGGATAAACTAGTTTTTACGCTTAGACTTAACTCATTTTTTTAAATATCTAGATTTAATGGAAATAAACAGCCCTGCCTTTCATTTTGAATGAAGTGAATTCAGATAAAAGACAAAGTTCACAACTGGAAGCTTCTACATCAGACTACTCCACCAACTGCTGGACCTCCTTTTTAAATACATGAAGAACCTGATTCTTTCATCATCAACAGAGGAGTGAGAAAAGCTTTAATTGTTGAAGCACCCCTCTGTATGGCCTGTAAAGCCACATCATTTATCCA